TTGCTTTTTCAGGAAAATTCCTTATACATCCTGTGCTTCCAACACCACTTCTGAAGTATTCCTTTCTTTGAAAATTCCAATGAAAATACATGAGGGGGAAAAGGTGGCTTTCCTGTTCTTTCCCATCAGATAATACTTGCATCTCATATGCAAGTATTGATGTAAAAGTGTGTAATGAACACTTTTAGAGCAAGAGATGCTCAGAATAGGTGGAACTGCTGATTTCCCTTTTCTGGTAATTGAAAAATCAGCTGCTTTAGAGTGTTTTTTCTTCCTTGCACGCCCCAGCCATTCTGTCCTATTAGGTGATTAGTTATACTTAAGCAGGTGACATTTTTATAATTTGGGTGAAGTCTGCCCCTCACCAACCCCCCCCCCCCCCCAGTCCTACCACCTACCTTAGAAAGTTTAAATCTGAAGGCAGCTGTCTTTCTTTCTTTCCTTCCTTCCTCCCTTCCTCCCTTCCTCCCTCCCTTCCTTGCTTTCTTCCTTATTCCTCCCTCCCTCCCTTCCTTCCTGTCATTCTCTGGCAAAAATTATTTTCTTGTTGGGTTCCTCACACCCAGTAAGAAGTATCACATTTGTAATAATGGTAAAGTAATTATAATTGTCACTGGTTTAAATCAAGCAGTAGAGTAGAACATTGCAGTGACTTTCTTATTGTGGGTAAAATGTGAAGTATGAGGCAAAACAAGTTGAGTGAGAATGAGTTATGGGCTTTGTGGGAGGAAGACTTTTCTTGCAAACTGGAGGGGAGGAGTGACTCGTCAGTGTACCTCTGAACGTGTGGTCTCGTGAAAGGGTCAGGAGGAGCTGTGAGTGAGTTGCCAGTCTTCCTGTGCACACCCCCTCTGAATCTCGCCATTTACTAGTAGTTTGGGTTGGGGGTGAGTTTCTACTCTTGGTAGTTTCTGGTTGTGAAGACTGGTGAATTTTAACAAGACATAAATGAAGAAAACGAGGACACCATGGAGCCAGCCATTCTGATATCTCCAGTGCAGGGGAATTCATTAGTGAACATCAGGATTCTCCTGATTATTGCTTGAAGAGCTTAATTTCTAATGCATCAATGGTGAAAGGATTTCTTTTTTTTTTAATTTTTTAAAAATTTTAATCATTGTTTAAGTACAGTTTTCTTCCTTTTACTCCCATTCCAGTCCACCCACCCAACCTTCGCCACTTCCCTCCCATTACCACCCTCCCCCTAGTTTTTGTCCATATGTCCTTTAAATTTGTTCCAGGATTTCTTGTTTTATATTCTTTTTTCATGAAATGCCCACTATGTGTCATTCATTTTTAAAATGCTCACTGTTGATTTTACACAGAGTGAAAACCAAAGCGCTGGTCTTCAAACTGGGCCTGGTGAAGCCTTCAGCTTCTGTGACGGGGCCTGGGAGCCTGTTGAGGGGAAGGTCAGCAGCACCTGGCCTGGGCCTCCCAGTGTTGCTTCAACCAGCACTCCTCTGCTTCATCTTTTAGAAAGCAGTGATTTACCGGAGATTTTGTTTTCATAAAATTCCATTGCTTTAAAAACATTTGAAAGCCATCCCTTTAGGGAATTGGTGTTATTGTACACAGAAAAATAAATCACTCCTTTTTGAAGCATTATTTTGGATTGTTACATATCTCAAAGAGATGAAATATGTGCCTTCTTTCCTCTCTCTCACTGAGTCATAAGTAATTGCCCTGATTGGAATGCTTGGCATTTTTTTTAAACAAAACAGACCTCTGCTTTATAAAAAGTTTTGTCATGAAATATTTTTATATAAATAAATTTTCAAAATTTATATATATTTAAAACCATTTTATTGAGGTGTCATTGACAGACAAAAAGCTACATGTATTTAATGCACACAACTTGATGAGTTTAGAGATAAGTATACACCTGTGGAACAACGTAATGCCTATAGTTAAGAACACTGTATCGTAACCCTGGCTCTGTGGCTCTGTGGGTTGAGTGTCGGACTGTAAGCTGGGGGTGGGGCGGGGGAGGTGTTGCTGGTTTGATTCCCAGTCCTGGCTCCTGACTGGGTTATGGACTGGGTCCCTGGTTTGGGGTGTTCAACAAGCAACCAATCTGTGTTCCTCTTGCACATTGATGTTTCTCTCCTCTTTCTCCCTCCCTTCCTGTCTCTAAAATTAAATAAATAAAATCTTAAAAAAAAGAATGCTATATTGTATACTTAAAAGTTTTCTAAGAGGGTAGATCTTATATTCAGTGTTCTAATAATGTACATAAAATGATAAAGAGGGCAGAAGGAAACTTGGAGATGATGGATATATTAAATTTTTTTAACTTTGATTTCATAACTGTAGGCTATATGTCACAAACTAAGGAGTAAAATTTTAAGTATATGCTAAGGGACAAGATTATGTTTCAGATGGCCTCGATTAAAACAATTTCTAGTTCTGCCTTCCAAAGAAAACTATTTCTAAGGTATACTTTCTTAAAGGTATTAAATTATGTCTATGGTTTTTGAGAGCATTAAAAATTTGGGTCATTTAATGTCTCCTAAAAAATATTGTAGGTTGAGACTGAGAAATAATTGACTTTCTTGAAGAGCACCTAGATCTCTTATTAGGTTGAAACAGCAAGGCTTATCTATTCACTGCAGCTTTCCTCAGATGGGCTCAGAAGTGTAATTGGCATTTGTGGGGAGGCGTGGTTCTGGCCTGTGTCATTTCCCATTTTCACCACTCAGGAAGCATTTATAGGCTACTTTGCTTCTTGTTGTTTGACTTGGGATTTGTCTTTTTTAGGGGGGAAGATAACTCAGAATATGTGGTGTGAGCAGTGTAAGGAAAACAGAGATGAGAAGACAGTGGTTGGGGAAGATTGATGAGCCTTGGTGTGCTTTGGGGAGTCTTGGAGAAACAAATGGGTGATAGTTTTCTAAGCATAAACTGGGAAGAGGGGAGAGGTAAAATAATTCATTTTTATCCCTAACTTACCCTAAAGAGATTTTTTTTAACATCAAAATCCTGAATTTGATATACAGTTTGATTTGAATTTAATTTGCTCTTGAATGATAACCTATTCATAGTTAATAAAATAAGAACACTGTGTCTTGAACCTTATTGGCCCTTTCCCAAGAGGTATCATACTGCAAATCAATCACTGGTTAGCATCCTATTTTTAATCAAATCTTCTACTACCACTCATGGAGTAGGTGAAAAACCCTAAATAACTGTACATTACTGGAGTTACTAACTGTTGACTATTTCTGGTATGACATTAAGAAAGTCAGTGTAGTTACATACCATAGATTTTTTCTTTCCAACTCATTTAATTTGTTTTTTCCCTCCATTGCTTTAATACTTTTTTTTTTACCTATTACTGAGACTTAAGCAACTGGGGACCATGTAGCAGATGCTGAACATGCCATTTCTTTTGCCCCAAAATTGGGAAGAAAAAGTCTGGTTCTTATAGGGAGAAAGGGTATTTACAATTATTCTATGGAAAAATTTATTAGAATTTGCCATACTCTTATTAAAATAGTAAGAACTTCAGGATTTTGCTTTTATTTAATCAGAACATGAATTTTCTTGGTATAATATACTAGTAAACTGTGAATGTGCACGAAGCTTATTTTCACAGGTATTAATCTCTTTTAAAAGATATCAGAATATCTCTTTTAAAGATATTCTGGATAAAAACAATCTAGTGGAAGGACTTTAGTTATAATTTTTACTTTTCAGTGTAAAAATATCCTTTCCTATAGTTATGCTATGTGTGGAGACCCATTTTATTTTTGCAAAGTTTCAGTGAACTTAGGGTAGCCGTGGTCATGGACTTCACGGTTCTCTCTCTCTGTCTCTCCCTCTCCCCCTCCCCTCCTCCCTCTGCCTTCCTACTTCTCTCTCTCCCTGCTCCATCCCACCACATAATATTCACGTGTGAGCCAGCTCTGGTGTAATGGGCCAGATACTGGGCTTGGCCCCCCAAGATGGAGGTTTGAGTTTTGCTCTGCCTTGTACAAACTCGGAGAACTGTGGCAGGTTGCTTAACATCATAGGACCTCAACTCCTCTATAAAATGAAGAAGACAAATCTTATGGTTGCAAAATAATAAATGAAATATTGTACATGAAGGAACACAATTAATACTAACACCCTATTGAAATTTTTTTATTGGAGTAAGATATATGTAAGTTATTTCAAACATTTGAAGTGTATCACTTAGTGGCATTAATTGTATTTACAATGTTCTACAACCATCACACTATCCATTTCCAGAACTTTTTCAACATCCTAAACAGAAACTCTGTACTCATTAAATAATAACTTTGTTTTCTTTTCCTCCAGCTCTTGGTAACTACCTTCCTAATTTCTGTCTCCGTGGATTTGACTGCTCTAGATACTTCATATAAATGGAATCATATACCATTTGCCCTTTTGTCTCTGGCTTATTTCACTTAGCATAATGTCTTCAAGGTTCATCCTTGTTGTAGCATATATCAGAATTTCAGTCCTTTTTAAGACTGAATAATATTCCATTTTATATTTATAGCATATTTGGTTTATCCGTTCATCTATTGATGAATATTCGGATTGTTAACACCTTCTAAGTAGTGTGAAAAATGCCACTGTGAACATTGGTGTGCAAATATCTGTTTGAGTCCCCTTTTCAGTATTTTTTTGGGGGTACAGATCTAGAAGTAGAATTGCTGAATCATATGTTAGTTCTTCGTTTAGCATTTTGGGTGACATCCTATTTTTAATTATTTTTGAATCTATTGAATTGATTGTAGTGGCATGACTCCTAAATGAAGTGTTTGCTCATAGTGATTACTCTATTCCCATAGTTTATGTGGCTTGAGTCAGGGCAGTGAGGTCACCTTCAGTTTTAGGAACACCTTGCCCATGGTTTTCAGAAATGTATTCACTGTACACTTAGACATCATAGAGGGTGAGGTTTTCTCTGTTGGTATCCAACTGTGTTGGTTAAACATTAGTTGTATCACTGACTATAGTATTTTTTGCTTTGCACCTTTCTGCAGGGGTTAAGGAGACTAAAGCGGCTGAGCAGGCTGATGGGCTCAGTTGGTAGGCTGCATTATCTCACCATGACTGCCGAAAACCCGACGCCTGGAGACCTGGCTCTGGCTCCTCTTGTCACTTGCAAACTCTGCCTGTGTGAACAGTCTTTGGACAAGATGACCACACTCCAGGAATGCCGGTGCATCTTTTGCACAGCTGTAAGTTTTCCCTGATGTTTTCATCATGAGAAAATACAAAGGGAAGAGCTATGAAGGCATAGGATCCATTTCTGATCCATTACGGAGAAGCTGAGTTTGCTGCAATGTGATCCTACTTTGGAGAGTAGTGTGTACAGTTGTATACACTACTGTGGAGAGGAATTCCACATTTGGGTCTGTTTCTGAATAGTATCTTAAATGGTAAATTCTCTATATACTGGTTTTTAGGAAGAATGAAATTTGTGTGTGAAATTTAATTATTTGATGGGTAAGCACAGTTTTTCTGTTGTTAAAGTTCTAGCTAAGAAACTAAATAGAGACATTTTTAACATGTATTAGTTAACTCTCATCAGTAAGAAGTTCATGGAGTATTTTGAATGATGGAGAAATCAAGTAGTAATTTACTGAGTTTTCTTTTATATACTTGTTCAGCTCCTACAAGGCACATGGTATACCACTGTTTAACGTTATTGTATCTCCTTTTCTTTTTTCCAATTTTCACAATTTGCTGAAGGCCGCTTATTCCTCTTAATAGAGAAATGCTGTAACTCTCCAGATGTGGGTTTGTCTCTTTCAGTTTGACACTTGATACCAATGCTGGTGACCTTCATTGCACGTTTCCCTGAAGATTGGTTGGTTAGGGTATAAAGCTAGGAAACAGACTGACAAGTTCAAAGTAACTACAGAAGTGTGAGCCCAGGTGATCTTACTCAATTTTTCATTTATTTAAACATTTTTTGAGCTTCTACTATGTGCCAGGCACAGTGCTGAATGTTGGGAATATAAAAATGGGTAAGATACTTTCCACAGGGAAGATGGACACATTGAAGGAGCACCACCAGAGTGTGGTGAAGTCAGGGGTGGCTGCTGTGGCTTCCCCCAGGAGCATCCACCCACTTGGGGCTGGGAAGGTGGGAGGGGCCTCTGGGTGGCAGTGATCTCTGAGCTGAGGCTTTAACAAGAGATCGCAAACTGATGCCCATAGGCCACATTTGGCCTCAACAGGTTTCTTTCTTTCTTTCTTTTTTGATTGAGAAATTTAAAATAACAAATTTTATAAAATTTTCATGAAAAATGAAAAAACTAGTAAGATACAGCTACTCTGGGCCTGTGTTCATAGGCCCAGAAACAGATGACCCTTCCTTCATTTATGTCCCTGTCTCTCTCCTGTAAACGAGTCTATTTGAATCAACAGCACTTTAAAACTAAGGGTAGGCTGGTGAAGAGTCGGACAGGAAGAGTGCTGGCATCTCAGAATGGTAGAGGGGAGGGTCTGATGCCTAGATTCAATATTTACCATTTATCTTTGCTTTGGTAGGCCTTGTATGGGCAGACTGTTAATATTTATTATACAGACCGTACAGTAATCACTGGACAAATGACAGTTTAATACCCTGACTGTGTGAAGGAAATTGAACAGTTTAGTTACAGTGATCGGTGGTTAAATCAAGGGGACTAATGAGGAAGGAATCATTTAGGAAGTATAATCATTTATAAAGAGGCATGTTTATTACCAAGCTTTACTAAGCATTCTTTTTTTAACAGACAAATTAAGGTAAAATAAAATTTCCTTGTTTATTTAATCAACGTAGCACCTTTTTAAGCTAATTCATACCAATTTTCTTTAAAAATGTTTTTTTTGAGGGAGAATTTGGGTAGGGAGAAGCCTCAGCATGACTTTTAGGTAAAAAGGAAAGGGACTGAAATCCTTTTCATGTGTTTTGAACTCTAGGATCCAAAGATGGCAGAGAATAGCACTGTCTGTTCATTCACTCAGCAACAATCTAGTGAGCAGCATCTGTATGCCAGGAACTGTTCTAGGCTCCAGGATCTATCAGTTAAAGAAACAAAACCCAGTAGAGATCCTTGCTGTTACCAAAGCAAGTTATACAATAAACAATAGACATAATGAATAGGAAATTATAATATTGGGTGATAAGAGCTTAGAAAAAAATCTAGTAGGAGGTGAGGAGTGTGGGGCGAGGGGACATGACAGTTCAAGCAGGGTGAAGGTCTCTTGCTACGTGAGGTTCCTGCTGGTTCTGCTCATCTTGTCAGTGTGTGTTGCTTTATAGGAAGTGAGGCAATAGCTTTGTCATCTCAGGGCAGCTTTAGTTTCCTTTGGTCTTGCTTTGTTTCTGAATGCTGTGCTTAGAGAGTGAGTATTTCTCTGCCTTTTTCACACATGTTTCAGACCCTTGCTGGTCCTTGAAACAAATGAATCAGAAGCATTGGTTAAAAGCAGGATGGAAATTTTTGTCCTAGTGTTACTGGACAAAAAGCAGGGTATGGAATTCAGTTTTCATTGTGAGATGTAATAGCACAGAATTCAAGTTGGTATGTCAGTGTTGGGTAAAGAGCACAAAAGCTCGGGTTGTATTTCATATTCACAAGGAGCTGACATATTGTTTCAGTAGATTCAGTTCCCAATTAAAGACAGAACAACTGCTTCTCATATCTCCTTCAGCAGTGTAGAGGTAGGAGTTAGTACAATTAGATCGTTCTGTCATCTAGGTTCATACTTCCTTATTGCTGGGGAGTGCTCAAAAGCAGAAAGTCAAATGGCACGGTATTTTTGGTAACTCTCCAACTTTGGGACTTTTTGTACTTATAAACATTGGAACTTTTTGTACCTATAAACATTAATTTTGCTTGGCTTCCTGATACCCCATTTCCTATGACCGGCCAAAATAGTAAATTGCATGTGTCTGATTACCTCAGTGTCTGTAAATCTGCAATTGATACCAAACTCACCTGAAATGTTACTCTTTTTATTGTGAGAGCTTTTATTTCTTCTTTAAAAAACTGATTGAAAAATGTATCTAATCTTCACAGATATTAATTTGCACTCATATTAAAGAGCTCTAATATGTTTTCAAGGCTGAAAAGAAATCTGTGACCTTTTAACTTATGTCATATACTACTAATTTTCAACATTAAATGTAATTGGATGATCTCTCTCAATTATTGGCTAGGAAAGACCAAATATTTTAAATGGTTTTGCCACGAAAGTCCCTTTCTCCCCTTCATTAGGCAAATGTCTAAATGTAATGGTCTTCCTGCTAGGTATGGTGCTATACGTACATATTTTCATAGATCTAATCAAGCTTTATATACATTCTGTCCTAATCCTGTTTTCCCTAAGATATATCCCTGAACATTTGTTGTGAGGTTAAAGCCTTTTTGTTTTCAAGATCAGTGTGCTCTGGGAGTGCCGAGTAGACAGATGTGGAGTGTTTGACTTGAACACTGAATATCAGCCAGCTCATTCCCTATCTTTAGGGAGACCTGGCCTTTCAGTAGACATCCCTGACCTGTGTGGTCCATGGACCTGTGGCTCTGAGAAACAGATACTCCTTGAACAGAGTGTTCTACATGCAAATTATCTTGGAAAATGGTGTGTTCCCTTTCTCTCTTAGGGGGACCCAATGCATATTTGCATGTTAGAGGCTCTGTGAAATATTGTGGTTAAGAGGAAAGCAAGGGGACCCTGTTTAATTTCTTCCAAAGCATTTACATTTGATCATACAACCTTCTTTTTTTTAGTGGAATACCTGTTAACTTCCGTACAACTAGAGCTCTGAAGAATGCTGCTTTAAATTATTCCATGTAGTTAATTCTTGATTTAAGTGACATCTGGAGAAAAGAATGTGATGAATATCACTTTAAATAATCCATCAATATATTGAGTTTATTTTTAAAGGAAACTTACCACATTCTAACTGTGAAGATGATTTTTGTTAAACTGCTTGGCTTTAATATGCAGAAGAAAGTGTAGTATAAAGAAAGGTGAGCTGAATTTACATGGCAAAAATGGGTGTCACTCTCACTAGCATGACTGAAGTTACAAGTCATTAGGTGTATTATGGAGCCAGAGAAGTTAATATTTGGGAGTTATGGAAAGAGGTGTTGCAAAATTACTTGTTTTTGTAATTGACAGTTTTTGTAATTTCTCAGGAATGTTGGTCTACTAACTAATGATATGCAAACAGTCTCTCTCTCTCCTATTTAAATAATCCAAATATGCAAACTCAAATTTTCCTCTTCTGGTTTCTGCAGCACACTTTTTTTGAGATAATACCACACAAGTATAATTAAGTGAAAGACGAAAAATTCACAAAAGCCAGTTATCAGAGGAGGGTCAATTTGTGGGTTTGCTCCCTTGTGAGCAATATTTGCCTCTTTGATTTATTTTGGAAGCTATTTCTGTCAGCCGTGAACTAAAGAATAAAGAAAACACAGTTGTTGCTTGTTTTTATAACCTAGATAACTTCACCTGAAAAGAGTCGGTATGTTGGGCATGGCCTGTTTACCTTTCAAATTAAGATGGGATGTGTTGAGCAAAAAGAAAATAAAGTCCAGCCATATTCTTGCCTTTTTCCATTACGTTTTGTTGGCTCAAAGTAGTTAGAACTCCTTTTGCTATTCATTTCTCTGAGCCAAATGGATTTTCCAATGTTTAAAAAAGTGAGAGGAAATATAAAACATTTCAGACCAAACCCTTCTTTCCCTTGGGGCCTGTTGGGTGACCTTTAAGAAAAGCCCACGTATGGCCTGGGAGACATTTCAGTTTGGGAAGATTAGCTCTGTGTGTGTGTGCATGTATGTGTATATTGGTGTGTCTCAATGTACACACTTGTGCACCCATGTGGTTGGTAACTTTCGAATGAAACAAAGAGTCTGCAGTGGTTCATTTCTGGATTCTGATATCTGTATTACGAGGAAGAAATGCCAGTTTTCTACTGCCACCTCCATCTTCTTTCCCAGTGTAGCATGGTGATGAAGAGTGCAGATACAAAGCTAGGAAGACCCAGGTTCAAGTTCAGGCTTGGCCATTTAATGGTGTGCTACTTTAGGTAAAATCTTTGGCTTTTCTGAACCTTTGTTTTTTCACCTGTAGGATGAAGGGAGGTAAGGGATGATGATACCTGTCTCAAAGTGTTGTATGAGGCATCAAAGAAGACTTCCAGAAAAGCAACTAGCTCAGTGCCAAGGCCCTA